ACCCATCATGACAGAACACTGCGGCCAAACACTAAGCCCAGCGGGTCACCTCCGTCGGAGGCTTGAGGAGCAAGACGCTCAGATCCAAGGACATGCTCAGACCCTCCGTGAGTTACATACCAAGATTGGATGTCAAAATCAAATGCTTCAAACATATGCTGGCTACATGGGCAGTGCTAACGCAGAATCTGCGGCACGTCTGTTTCCGGATCCACTTCCGCCTCTAAGGTCACCAGTAGTGACGTCATCTCGTGAATTCCGTCCCAGTCTCCCTGAAAAATTCTCAGGTAACCAGAAGGATTGTAAGGGATTTTTGTTTCAATGTCGTCTTATTTTTGAGAACTCTCCAGGCAGTTTCCCTACAGATAAGAAGATGATAACTTTTATTTTGTCCCAACTCACTGGGCGAGCCCTTGAGTGGGCGGAGGCAAGGTTCGCCTCCGAGGACAGTTTCAGATGTACTTTTTCTGAGTTTGTTTCTGAGTTTTCCCAGGTATTTATTCAGGACTCTGATCAAACAATTGACTCTCGAGCTCTGCTGAATTTAAAACAGGTAGATTCCATGGTGGCGGAGTTTTCCATCGACTTCCGGCTCATAGCCGCAGCTTCCGGATGGAACGAATGTGCTCTCAAAAGTGCATATTTTAAGGCACTGAATGACAATATCAAGGATGAACTTGCTACTCTCGACGAACGTTATCGCGTGAAGTTACGTGAACTCAAGTGAACTTCTGTTAAACTCCGGACCTGTTGCCGGAGCCGCAGAGCTGCACCGCACCGTAGTCAAAAGGGCGGTGTGAGAGGGGGTGTGCGTGAGTTGCGGTCTCCGTCGGGGTAAGACCTTGTATAGACTACAGAGGCCTAAACCAAATAACTGTCAAAAATAAATACCCACTTCCATTACTAGCATCAGCTTTTGAACCAGTTCAAGGGGCTACTGTCTTCACCAAGCTCAATTTAAGAAACGCATATCACCTTCTCAGGATAAGAGAAGGTGACGAATGGAAGACAGCCTTTAAGACACCCTTGGGCCAGTTTGAGTACCTGGTTATGCCTTTTGGTCTCACTAACGCTCCTGCATGTTTTCAAGCGCTCGTCAATGATGTCCTCAGAGACTTCTTAAATATTTTTGTGTTTTTATACATTGCCGACATTTTAATCTACTCCAAGAACCTTTCTGAGCATAAGAAACATGTCCGCCTGGTCCTTCAAAGACTGTTGGAAAACAAACTTTTTGTAAAGGCTGAAAAATGCGAGTTTCACCAACCTTCTGTCACCTTTTTAGGGTTTGTGCTCGAGGGCGGGCAGGTTAAGCCATCCGAAGACAAGATAAAGGCAGTTTTGGATTGGCCGACACCTGAGAACCGTAAACAGCTGCAGAGATTCCTGGGTTTTGCTAACTTCTACCGACGTTTCATCAGGAATTACAGTCAGACAGCTCTACCTCTCACAACTCTAACATCAGTCAAAAAGACTTTTCAATGGACTCCAGAAGCACAAAACGCTTTTGATAAATTAAAGACCCTGTTTTCCAGAGCTCCTGTGTTAATCCAGCCAGATCCTACTAAACAATTTATCCACGAAGTAGACGCCTCTGACTCTGGTGTTGGTGCTGTGTTATCCCAACAACTCGACTCTGATCAAAGGATTCACCCCTGTGCATTTTCTCACCGGCTGAACAAAACTACGATGTTGAGGATCGTGAACTTCTGGCCATCAAACTTGCCTTGGAGGAGTGGAGACACTGGCTCGAGGGAGCTGAACACCCAGTCTTGGTTTGGACTGATCACAAGAACCTGGCTTATATCCAGTCCGCCAAACAGGCAAACCCACGTCAATCAAGATGGTCTCTGTTTTTCTCTCGGTTCAACCTCATTATCTCTTACAGACCTGGCTCCAAGAACATCAAACCCGATTCTCTCTCTCGTCTATACTCTGCTGATCAATCCGAGATGCCTGAACCTGTTCTTCCTGCCTCCTGTACTGTTGGAGTGGTTTCCTGGGAGATCTCCGATCTCATAAACTCTGCCCTAGCCTCTGAACCTGACCCAGGTAA